AGTATGACAAGTGTGTCCTGAGAGTATGACAAGTGTGTCCTGAGAGTATGACAAGTGTGTCCTGAGAGTATGACAAGTGTGTCCTGAGAGTATGACAAGTGTGTCCTGAGAGTATGACAAATTTTTTGAGGCTACTTTGCTTGCCCGGCCGAGGCTGAAATTAGCGGCTGATTTACGCGCTCCCCGAGTCTTGGGCGGTGCCTGATGCAGAGTCGCGCCCGCATCCCAATTTTTCAAGGGTTGTTGGTAACTTTTAAGTAACTCGTTAGTTGTTTGTTAGGATCTTGTGAGTAACGTGTGAGTAAGTTGTATGTTGCGTATGTGTAAGTTTTCATGAGGGGTTGTTAGTATGTTTTTTAATAAATCATGAGCAAATTATGAGGATTTTATGAGTAAAGATTTGGTAACTCTAAGAATTGTGTTGGTACCGTGTGAGTTAGCTGTAAGTAACTTATGTGTAACTTTTGAGGAAATTTTATTGAACTTGTTATTAATTTGAGAATAACTTGCGAGTAGCTTACGATTAACTTGAAGCTATTCCTGAATATATAGCTGATAATATCGTTGAGAATATAGTCGAATATAACGTTGTTATAGCGGTATAGTTTATGAATAAATAAATTGTTGAATTCATGTTTGTATCTCAACCCGTCCTGGTTGCAGGTGACCTGGAGTNGCGATTGTTCTCGGGTTACCGGCAGTCGCCGAGGGTTTTCAAAAACTTGCCCTCGTTTCACGCACTAGAATTTGTCGGGAATAAAACACTTGTACTAGCCGTTTTTCTCACTATTCGCACAATTTTGATTGAACTGCACTAACATTGAACCTTTCACTGAAATCGTTTCGGTACAAAATACGCGAGATAAGTCAAACCGGCATAGTAAGAAGTGAGAAAGTTGGGACCCGCAAACACTACGTGCGTCCCCGATCACTGCCAGAACTCAACTCCTTTACACTTTACATTCTATGCATTTCTATAAAAAGTTGATGTTTAAGATTGGGAGGGTGATCGAGTCACTCTTGGTTTGTAGTGTGTCGTGCTGGGGCGTGTATTAGGTGTGCATTAATAATTTAATCTTGTAATGTGGCTACTGTGTCGTATATTTTCCTTTATATTTCCTGTTATCATTTGGCATGAATGTTGTGAATAATGAAGTTTTAGTACAATGAATAATATTGTTCAGTATCCCAACAAAAATCAGGTAACGCTACGAAGTTGCTACACTCGGCATAGAGTTATTCTGGGTCTGCTTGGCAACATGATCGAAACCAGAATCTGGTTAGAACCTATTTCCCGACTTTATAATGTCTTAAGAGTGTGACAAAAGGTGGCTGAAGCTGACTCATGCTGAGCTTACAATATGTTTATAGGCTGCATTTCAAGCCCGAGAGAAGCGGACAAGGAGCGATGAGGATATGATTATATTTTTCTTCTTATTTTTATTCGCCTCCTCACATGTCACAACACCTAGGAACTGTATCTGTTTCACATAATATCTCTGCACTGCGCCTGCCTCACAACACCTAGGAACTGTATCAACTTCACATAATATCTCTGCACTGCGCCTGCCTCACAACACCTAGGAACTGTATCAACTTCACATAATATCTCTGCATTGCACTTGCCTCAAAAAACATTTCCAGACCTAGCCAAATCTTTTTATCCTGCCGCAGACACGTGAACACAAATCTGATGAAGAAAGCCAGGACCTCGGCAATGAAAAGAAGTCCGGAGGAGAAAACGGACCGGTGCCACTGTCCATAGACCACATGTCGGGGGCCTTCTTCATCCTCTGCATTCTCTCATCTCTGTCTTTAGTCTGTTTCTTTTTAGAGCTCTGCAGCACCAGGACTTTGAGAGATCCCAGAAGTGGAGGAGGGAAGAAGGTCTAAGGCTAATGAGTGGCAGGACTAATAATCTCGGTGACTCTTCTCGTATACTTAACAAATTTAGAGGGCAAACAGTTATCGTGATTCAGTAACTTTTGGTGAATGGGACGCTGAGGAGGTAGGAAAAATTAGCAACATAAGAACTGCAGTAACCAAGCATCGGTGTATGACGTTCCTATTACAAGGCATGGATGAAGAAAACTTGTGCAGAAAAAGTTGAAAATATTGAATCTCTGCTTATATGTATCATTACGCCCACGCTACTATTATTAGTTGATGCCTCCTTTAGTACAGCGAAGCTTCAATTATCAATTCAATGCTCTCATTATTGGAACAAACCTTAATTGAATAGGACTAAACAGACGTCATCATCAGAGAGCTAACATTGCCAAGTTGAAGCAAACCTTACTAAGTCGAAGCTAACATTGTTAGGGCGAAGTTCGCTGCTCAGGCGGGTCTCATCATTGCAGTTGCAATATTGTTGAGAAAATAGCCTTTATCCCGACTAAATCTATACGAGGATATAGCCTTTATCCCGACAAATGTATACGATAAATAGCCTTTAACCCGATTGAGATGGAAATATATGTATACGCTGATTAATGTGATTTATTCCCCGTTAATTACTGCAGCATCATCCGAAATACAACTCAAATCCAATTTAAAATTGCATATTTTACAAGTGATTCAACTTATTTTATGCCTAAGTGATATCCTAAAGTTTTTCTAATTATCTTATTTTAATTTCAGTACTTTATTACACAATAGACTTACTATTCATACTAAAAACTAGAAATTTGTGGTTCAAAATATGTAGATATATCATGTATGAACGCATTCGTTATCAGGAAACATTAATTTTGCTCCTAGCGGACGCTATATATTGAATCAAAACAACATGTGTTGCCTCTAGTGATTTATTGAATAAATTTTTAATAACATTGTGATAGATTTTATAAGAGGTAATCGCGTTAAATTATTAATTAGAATAGGAATTGATGCACACCACGAACAGAGGCAAGATATCCGTGAAAATATTTACCCTAATTAAAATTCATTAGTTGGTTTCTAGCATGAATATCTTGATAGGAAATAATCGATTGAAATTTCCATTGTAAACAAGCATTAAATTATTCGTAAAGTAAATAGCAGATTGATTCTGCTAAGCAAAATTTTGCAAGGTGGAAAGTAGATTGTTTCACGCGATTCACTTTGATATCCCGGCTTTTAGATTCATTATTGTACTGCACTTGACAATTTTAAAGCGGCTTTGAAATTTAAGCATACCTATAAATGATAATACTGGTATCCATGATACTTTACCTATAATTGTCCCCAAGGACTACAGTCGCCGGAAATATAAACAGAATACAGAATCGAACATTTGATCACCAGTTTAGGAACTCCAGTGCAGCGATAACGGAAATAATGGATAAATATCGAGTAAGTCTTTCAAAGAAACAACCATGCGCTATTTATACAGGGTCCACCATATTTATGGCAACGGATGTTTGCTATATAAAATAAATTGGTTTCTAGGAGACTTTTCTTATATAATGAAGCCTAATATCATCTATTAATTCATCTATTTCATATTACAGAAGTCTAAGGTGTCTAAATTACTATTACTTATGGCAGTAGATAGTAATGCAATTGTAACCCCTCATGAGAAGGGCGAGAGTAATTCAGTCATTGCAAATAAGCTCCAAATTCGTGGTGAAACTGTGTAGAAGGTGGCAAAAAAAAAATCAAGGAAACTGGTGGAACATGCAATCGACCTGGTCAATGAAGAAAACGAAGTGTCCGAACAAAATAATTGGTCAAAAACACGAGGGAGAAGTTGTGGAGAAACTCTCGTCGTTCAGCTTCAAAATTGGCTGCAGAAGCAGGAGCCAGTCAGACATCAATGCGTAGAGTCCTCAAAGATGACCTCAAAACCTTCCTTTACAAGATGCAAACAAGGCATGAACTAGCAGACCGTCATGAACGAATGCGGCTCGAAAGATGCCAGCACATTCTGGATCTCATTGAGGATGGCACGCTGCCCAAATTGGTGTTCAGTGACGAGAAAAAATTTGACATTTAACGAAGCGTTAACCGTCAAAATGACAGAGCTTGGAGTCGGGATGTATCTGTGGCAACCAGAACAGCAACACGACGTCAAAATCCCATGTCCGTGATGGTTTGGGCCGCGGTAACCGCCACTGGGAGGTCCCCACTCGTTTTTGTCCCCTCAGGAGTGAAATTGAACAGTCAGCGATACATTTCGGACATTTTGGAAGCTGTGTTGTTGCCTTGGGCCCGTAAACGCTTCAACGGCTCACCATGGAGTTCTCAACAAGACTCTGCCCCATCACATGGCTCAAGCATGACCCAAAACTGGATTCAGGGTCACATCCCAGCGTTCATTAGAAAAATATAACTCAGTACTCACTGCAGTGAGTGACAGAGAGCGCATTTTCTCGTCGACGAAGACTTGAGGTCACGGACGGACGGACAGATGGACAGACAGACAGACGGACATGGCGAGCACAATAGTGCATTTTTTCCATAAATGAGAAAATGCGCTAAAAATGAATGGCCCTCAAGAAGCCCTTATTTGAATCCTCTCGACTTTACTGTCTGGGCTATTTTAGAGAGGGTCTGCAGAACACCTCATGATTCTTTGGATAGTTTGAAATCTAAATTGACACGAGAATGGGACTTGATCCCTCAAGAAATGCTGCGTGTCTCCTGTGAGGCTTTCCCGCGTAGATTGGAGGCCGTCATTAAAAATAAGGGGGGTCATATTGAATAAATATGTCTGAGAATTGTTTAGGTAATTCTTGGCTACTAGCTCATCCAATAAAAACAATGCATTTGTTTGTTTCATTGAGAAATAACAAAAAACATGCGTTGCCATAAATATGGCGAACCCTGTATAGGAATGTCAACTAACTGTGGTAAATAAATACGATAAATAAATCAATAAACCAAATTAATAGTAAAGATACATTTTTAATAAATAAATAAATAAATTCATGATATAAAATAAATGAATCACCATAAATCTAAGAAATAAACTAAATATGCAACCCAAATTACCCGTTCAGTTAAACTCGAGAAACAATAATAAGAATAGTAAGCTATTTCCAGGGGCGCCGTTGGATTTCATCAAGGCGAGGTCTTGAATTGAACGCCATACCAAATCATGAACATGTAACTTTCGCTTCAACGTAAAATTTTATTCGTGCTAGCATCGCCATATGTACAAATTAGAATAAGATAGCAGAATAAGATTGTTTAGACACGAGTGGTTAATGACCAGAGAATTCAGTCAATTCACTGATTAAAGTTTTCAAGATCGTGAAGTTTTCAAGGGTGTTTACACCACCTGAGACAAGCTCGCAACCAGACCAGGTCTCTGAGTATTACAATTGAGCAACTTCATCTCAAGATCCGTGATAAATTCAACAGGCTGACACCCTTGACAACAACTTCCACTGTGCTGGAGGAGCCACCAGCTTCGTCATCGTGCAGTGGCCCGAAATATTCGACCGACGATAGCTGAAGCCCTCATCTCTACGGATTGGACTCCAGCTACTCATCTCATAACTACCGGACTTTCTGAACTTTGAGATTGTTTCGGAATTATTTTCACCGTTCCAAATTTTCGTGTTGTATCATATTTACGTGTATCATGTACTTATTTCCGCCAAAATTTCAGTATTCAATGCTTCCTATAACTTGAAAATGAATGATGTTGTATTCGAAACGTCGTTAATAAATTAAATTACTTCATTGAAACTGCATTTTTGTCAACCAACGTCATCTGGAGAATATTGTTTGATCTTGAAAATTTTAATCAATGAATCTCTGGTCATTAACTACAAATATGTACGTACAATATATTTCAAATGAACATTGTTTCTTTATGATAAAGGTTAAAATTTATGTTCATATTATGAAAACGTTAGCAGAGAAATCGTCGATAAAATAAAGCACTGTAAACGAAGTGGTTTAAATTTTGGAAGAGAATGGCTGATTAAGTTATAAATATCCGACACAGCAGGACGGTATACCTTGCAACCATTTGAAAGCCAAGAAAACGCAAAATAAATTCATTGCATTGAAAACGTTTTGAAGACCAGCGCCACCATCAGTTAAAAAAATTTTATAAAATACAAATACTATCAGCAGTAAAAATCAACATACCCACGAAAGAGATTAAATTCTGAGCAACGCTGAATCGAAACACAAAAACCTATCGATTAACAATCCTAAAAGGATACGAACTCAGTGAAGAAGGTTAAGTTGAAACTTTTAGTCTTTGTTTCATGTAAAACTTTTCTGACAACGTCACATTTCACTTGAACAGCACGCGTCCTTGGTTAGTATTTAAAAAACCCTGCTTATAGAATCCCATGTGTAACACAGCTACGGCCGCCCCCCTGGCAGAGATTATAAATGCCACGTTAATAAATTTTCCAATGAAACGCTTTTGTCTTCTGCACATGAGAAATTAAACGAATTAAGTTTTACTCCGAGCATAAAAATGGTTCATATAACTTATTGGAAATCCCTTATCCAGTATGGTATAATTGTGCGGAGGTTGTGCGGAGGGAATTCATATGTTTTAGAAAATTCGCCCGTTGGAAAATTATAGCAGGAATAAAAGTTTTTGTTGTATGTTATTTACTGAATTAACTTGGTTTTTGAAAGCATATTACCTTATCATTCAGATTACCTAATCATTTAGATAACTTTATCATTTCGATTATTTTATCATTTAGATTACTTTATCATGAAGATTACTTTATCATTAAATTACTTTATCACTTTGATTATTTTATCATTTAGATTACCTTATCATTTAGATTACTTCATGATTTCGATATCGATGAATAACTTGATTTGATTAATTACTCTTTCCCATGATTCGAGGCTTGTAGCGCCTCAAACATCTTGAAGTATTTCATTCACCTGCAATAATTATAGATAGCAACGTAGAAGTGGCAAGAAAC